CCTCTTTGCTCAGGGAGAGGGCCTAGCGGGCTCGAACATGAGCATGCTTGAGGAAATCTCCTGCAAGACCCAAGCCCTGAATGTCCGCATCATCCGGGCTGCCGACTGGAACGTGGAAGTCGACTAGGTCCGCGCCTCAGAGATCGAGGGGCATATTGGGGCTGCTTTCGTTTGACCACATGGGGCCCAGAGGCTGTTCGGGAAGAGGGCGACTGACTACCTGCTCGTCTCAAGGCCCCTCCTTGGGGATATCCCCTCGAATGCGATGTTCAGGCCCCGTGGGCGCAACCGCGCGTCGGGCTCATAGGTATGATCCGCAAGCAGTACGTTGCCAAGCAGATACAAGCGATGATCGAACCGCCCACGCTCCCCATTGGCTTGCAGGATAGGGTGCTTTGGTCCAGAGTGCCCGCCATCTGGTTGGTTGCCCGAGCCCGAGGATAGAGTACTACTACGCTGCTGAAGCCTGCACGTCTACTGCTACGCCAAGGCAACACGCTGTGCTTTTCGCTTGCAGCTGAGGCGCTGCATCTCTCCAAGCAGGGCGACCCCACGCGGCCTGTGCGACTCCATCGAGGGTGGGGGCCGCAGCCGGGGGCCAAGCTAGCCGCGCCTGCTGGTCCTTCGTCTAGGGCAGGCAGCACCGAGCAACTCCCTTTCTGAAAGACGGTCTTGGCTCGCTTCCAGGACTTGATCGGGGCCTCCGTCGGGCCGGACACAGAGGATAGGAAGCTCAGGAGGTACAAGTTCGGGGCCATCATCCAGTCCATGGTTCTCCCGGCAGCACCCTGCGGGGAGGACTACATGGAGTTCCGCGTAGGTGTCAGCAACAGCCTGAACCTGGACCTCGATGGGGTCCGCACTGCAGCTGGGCTCTGCAAGCGTCTTCGGGATCGGGCGGACCAAGTGGCCTACCGCGAAAAGCAGAAGGGCTTCCAGCGGTGGCTCCAAGACAGCCTCAAAGGGGGGGCAAGTGGGCCCATCACCATACCAGGACCTGGGGCTTACCAGATCCCCCCCCGAAGATCGAAGTCGACACCTCGCCCCCCCCCACCCCAATGGGAGACCAGCGAATCCCTGGAGACCAAGGCGCGAAGGTGGGGCTCACCCCCACGGACAGGGGCAGGCCTTCGAGCAGGACTTGTGGCGCACCTTCAGGCAGGAAGCCCTCGGGTCCATAGAAACCCTGCCGCCGCTTGACCCCCAGCAGCGGACCGCCGCGCGCCGCTGTTTTCCCGCCAGCACGGGGAAGGACGCCTGCCAGTGACACCCCCAGCTGTGGGCAGATCTTCCCCCGGAAGGCCATCGAGCCCTTCTGGACCTCCTCGCGCCCATCGAGGCTCAGTGCAGATGGCCATCCCAAGTACTTCTAAACTAGGCAGGCCTACAGCCTAAGCCTACAAGAGAAGGCGACCGACCGATGACCCGAACCCAGAGCTATTACCGCGTCTGGAGCCGGCTTCGGAAAGATACTGTATATCAGTGGGAGAAGGCCCGAGCGGGCTAATGGGACGCCGCGGTTCGAGGATCAGACCCCCTGCGCGCTGCTGTGCTTCGACTTGCCCGTGCCGAAGCTGCCTAGTGGATCGATTGCGACTGGGCCCTCGTGCTCCTCGACGCCGAAAGTTGTTCGACACGCTGCGCCCTTTCTGGATACAGTGCCTAGGGAAGCAACTCGAGTGCAATCTTGGTGCATCGTGTAATTACCTCGGCATGGCCGTGCACACCACCGACAGAATCTTGACCGTGGGCACCGAAGCGTCAAATGTTATCCGCGTGGGCCGCTCTGTTCTGCAGGGCAGTCTTCAGTCAGTTGCCTAGACTTAGGGCCTACCTTTACGAAATGATGGAACAGGCGCATGCAGGGCACCGCCCCATGGAGTTCACCGCCTGGGTCGATGACATCGGCATGTTGACCCGCGGCCCCTAACCCATTGTTTCCAACGTCACGATTGCAGGAGTCAAGGCCCTAGTCCAAGCCACGCGATCGCGGGGGCTCCAGCTCTCACCCAAATCGCAGCTGCTCGCTAGCTCAGGCCAGCTGCTCAGGCAAGTCCACCAAGGTCTGGAAGCGGCGGGCATCCAGGGTCAGGCTGTCGCTAAGGCCAGGGACCTTGGAGTGGATCTTTCATCGCAGAGGAGATCCACTGCAGTGGTAGGTGCACGGATGAAGAAAGCCAAAGTACGAGCGAAGCGAGTTCGAGGCGTCCTGGAAGTCAACAAGCAGGCCCCAAGACTGCCCACTCTTCTTCGGGCGCGTGGCCCTCCTGGAGACCTGGGCCGATCATCCCCCCGAAGCTTCTGACCGAGCGAGTGGCCCCAGTGGCCGCCTGGAAGGAGCGCTCAGCGATCATGACGACGGCCATCCGCCCCTGGAGCAGGGTCAAGGGCCCCATAAGGGGGCCGTCATCGCCACCCTCCCGCAGGCCAACTGGGGCCCCGAGCTGCCGCGGGCGTGGGCCGACCACGCAGGCGATGTATTCTACCTCCTCCCCGACGG